AAAAAAAAACAAAAAAACAGAGGGAATAGGAAAAAGAGTAGCCCTAACATTCCACTTACTGTTGACTTTTCTATTTATGAGCACCAGTGCTTATTAGAAAAATAGAAAGGTCTTTCATCTTTTTGCTCTCTCTTACCACTAGTAAATATCAAATGTTTAGTTTAATCCAGTCTTGCTTCCATCAACAAATAACATACAGAAAAATACTGGAAATTTTCTGAAGAAAGGAAAATAGTTTCTCATCAAATCTTATTGGTACATTTTCAGGTTTCAACCAGAAATTTGGGAGATTATAAATAGACATATGTATGTGTATATATTGCTATTGTTGGGGGCCATCAAGTCTTTTCTGACTCGTGGTGAACCTGTATAAGGTTTCCAAGGAGCAGCTGGTGAGCTTGAACCGCCAACCTTGAGGTTCAAACCGACCTTCAGTCCAGGGTATTAACTCACAGCGCTACACCTATTAGTACTGGTGGCACTGAGGGATAAGCACTGGACTACTAACCAAAGGGTGGGTTCAAGCTTACCAGTCACTCCATTAGAGGTTATGCCCCAATAAAGATTTACAGCCTCAGAAGAAACCCGTATAGCGTTGTTATAAGTCAGAATGAACACAATAGAAACTAACAACAACTGTATATAAATATATTTATATCTTCAATCCTGGTAATGCTTATCATGGAAGATACAAATAATTTTACGACTATCTACTTAAAATTTTTTATGAATTACTCAAGTAATTTAAGTAGATGACACCTAGGTATGTGTTGATTATCTTGTGATAGAAAGTAATATACAATTTAAAGTTTTATTTTTTTTACTTTTTAAAATAGACTTTTCTCATTAAAAGTTGGTACTTAAAAATAGGAAACAGTATGGCACTTCCTCAAAAAATCTAAAAACACAAGGGGACTTCAAAAAATGTTGTGGAAATTTTCCAATATCTTTTAATCCCAATTGTCTATGAACTTTCTGAAGTCCCTACATAGAAATACCTTATGATCCAGCAATCCCATTCCTAGAGATAAAAGAGCAGTAGCATGAATAGACAGGTGCACACCTATGTTCATTGCTGCATTATTCACAATAGCAAAAAGAAGGAAACAATCTAAATACTAATAAAGAAACGATAGATAAGTAAACTGTGGCACATACAATACAATATCATGTAACACCCTATATATACAGGGTCGTTATGAGTCGGAACTGACTCAAAGGAACTTAACCCCAACAATGCAAAGTAACAATTGCATGAAACATCTTTTAACATGAACCTGGAGGACACTAGGTTGAGTGATATAAGTCAACCACAAAAAGACATGGTTATGGTCCTATTATTGTATCTTAAAATAAGTAAATAAACAAGAACAGATATACACGTAAAATGCAAAGTTCTTTGATAGTTACCAGGGATGAGAGGGAGGGAAAATCACTTTCTATATATAGTAAACAATATTTTTGTTGATTATAAAGACAAGATGGAATATAAGCTAAGTCAGCACAATCTGACCACAGTAAATAGAAACACTTAAGTACAAGCAAAAAAAATCAAGAAGTATGCATGTGTGTGGTTACGTGGGTAGATTGTTGTTGTTAAGGGCTGTTGAGTTGGTTTCGACTCATAGTGACCCTGTATAGGGTTTCCAAGGAGCGGTTGGTGAGCTTGAACCACCGCCCTTGTGGTTCAAACCGACCTTGCAGTCCAGTGCATTAACCCGCAGCGGCATACACCAGGAGGCACACTAGGACATCGGTAGAAAAGGATGCATAAACGCATACAAAAAGGCATATGCAAGTAAATGGTTATGTAAACATGTATGTATATACAGACACATACATGTCTGTGTAAGCTACATCGTATATAACCAACATGGGGGTATAGTTACAGAGGCTTCCTAGACACATCCAAACAATTCACGGGATTAGTTAACTGGCTTTAGAAGACTTGAGAACATAGTCTTGGGGGAGAATTCAGTAGACCCCGGCTTAATACAGTTCAGAAAGATTATTTGGTCAGGAGCATCTGGGGTCTTAAAAACTGGTGAGCAGTCATCTACGATACAACAATTGGCCTAAATTCAGACACAGAAAAAGAGAACGAAGATAGTCCATGGGACTACTAGCCTGCATAAACCAGTCTTTTCTAATGAGACCGAAAGAACTAGATGGTGCCCAGCTATCACAATAGACCTTTCTGATGGGGGACACAAAAAAGACCCAGAGTAGAATGGGAGAAAAATGTAGAACAAAATTCAAATTCCTTACCAAAAAATAAAAAAAGGCCAGACTTACGGGACTGAAAGAGACTAGAAATACGCACAAGACTACTGCGCAAAGATAACTTTTGAACTTGACTTTGATGCTATTTCTCTACGTCTCCTTTCAGTCAAATAATATCATCTATGAGTACTGTGCTCCCTAAAAAAATTAACTGTATGAGACCAAAAGAACAACATTTATCCCAAAGCAAAATTAAGAAATCAAAGAAGGGAAGAGAAGTTAGATCAATGGATATAGAACAAACATAATGGAAAAAATGAAAATCCCGATACATTGCAAACATTGTAACACAAAACAATCTGTGTAAAAATTTCTAAAGGGGGACCTAAAACACAATAAAACACTTAAAAAAAAGAATCATCTGTGAACTTCATAATGTTAAGAACGAAAAGATTTCCTTGTAGCTCAAAGATAACCAGATGATCAAAGTTAACATCACCAACTATGGAGCCAAGTGATACCCATGTACCTTTTGATATGCTGGCACTGAGAAGTCACATCGCTTACAAAGTATTCCTGTAAAAAACGAACAGCTTGATTCTAATGAGGAAACAAACAAACAAACTCATAGTGAGGGGGGAAAAAAACCAAACGAGTGCTGTGGAATTGATTCTTACCCATAGTAACCTTAAAGAAAAGAACAGAACTGCTCCATAGGATTTTCAAGGCTGTAATCCTGGTGTGGCACTATGGGATAAAGCACTGGACCACAAGGTTGGTTTGAACCACAAGGTTGGTGGTTCAAACTCACCCGGCGCTCCTTGGAAACCTTACACTGATGGGTCATTATGAGTGGGAAATGACTCGATGGCATTTAAGAACAACAAACAAAAATCTTTATAGGTGGAGTCCTGGTGTGGCACTGTGACATTAAAGCACTGGACCACAATTTCAGTTTGAACCACAAGGTCAATGGTTCACGTTCACCAGCTATTCCTTGGAAACGCTATACAGGGTCGCTAGGAGTCGGAATCAACTGGATGGCACTTAACAACAACAAAAATCATTACAGGAGCAGACTGCCACCTCTGTCCCCTGAAGGACGGCTGTGGGGACCGAACCGCTGAACTTGAGCATTAACCACAGCACCACCAGAGTTCTTGTCCATATTTAAGAACAATCCTTAAAACAACTAACTCGTACTCTTCAAAAAAATGCAATTTCATGAAAGATAAAAAAGGTTAAGGAAGTTTCCAGATCAGGGCAGTTTAAGAACTACATAAACTACACGCAATGCTTGGAGTTAAATTGGATCATAGACTTGGATATTATTAGGGTAGCTGGCAAAATCTGAAAACTACATGGTTATATAAAAGAAGATTCTTGTCCTTAGGAATACATACATGTAGTCCTTGAGCTTTCAATTTTCTCTCAATTGGTTCAACAACATAAAAATGTTATTATAGAGTCATAACTAGTAATAGTAGGTACACATAAAAATGAAGAAATTATAAAGAAAATGTGGCAAACTGTTAATAATAGGTAAGTGGATATGAAAGTTCACTATATTTTTCCTTGCATTTCAAGTGAAAAAGTTTTTCAGATAAACAAAAAGTATACATGCAGTTGTTATGTGCCGTGGAGTCGGTTCCTACTCATAGAGACCCTGTACAGGGTTTCCGAGGCTGTAAATCTTTACGAAAGCATCTTTATCCTGCGAAACAGCTGGTAGTTTTGAACTGCTGACCCTGAGGTTAGCAGTCACCTAAAATTAGAGAAACTATCATATGAAGTAATGAATGTGGCAAAGTAGCTTAAACAAAATTAGACTTTTAACAAAAAGGAGCTGCGTGATTCTTGCAGAAAGGAATGAGACTAATTAAAACCAAGGTCTGCTTAAGTGGAGTATGTAACAAGAAATGCTGTAAAAAAGATAATCATACAAATTTAGTCAATATAGAAAAATCACTTGTATAGTATTGTAATAATTGCAGTTAAAATTACTAGCATAAGGCAAAAAACAAAACAAAACAAAAAACTCACACAGGAAGAGAGGACCTTCGTCCTCTGTTTGTCTTCTTTGCAATTACTGGTGTTCCAAAATGTTCTGGATTTGTCAGTGGAAGCTGATCAAGTGTCTGGATAAGAAAAAAATGAATGAAATCCACATTGTACCTCTAGGTCAGTACCTGTTGTTCAAGCCAAAAAGTCTACCCATTTCATCCTACCTCACTCTCTGCAAAATGTCTCTCCCCTTTCAGGCAAAGTGAAGTGCGTCTTAAAGTTCTCTCATCCCCATCATCAAACACTACAGAAAGCAAAAGACATCAGAGAATTTACGAACACAAATAAAATAAAAATGCAACCTCACAGAACATTACCATTACTATTTATTTGGGGTGTAATATTCATAAAAACTATCATTTATCAGCCACTTTTCAAAACCTTTAAATTATATTTTATTTTGTTGATATTAAACACAACTTAAACGGCTGCACCAAACTCCTCAAAGTGTTTCTCTTTTCTTGTTCAACTTCAATCACGACAGAACAACTTTCTAAATCCATTAGCAACTTAGTCAAAGTACAAATATTAAATTACCTTTAATCCTAAGAGAATGTCAATGAAGTGCCCTTAGCGTCAATAAATTCTATGGCTCCTGGTAAATGAAGCTGGTTTATTCTCTTGCTTCTGCTTATTTGCAGAGTAACTTAAAAAAACTGGCTACTAAATTCTAAAATTTTAAGAGTCAACATTTTTCCTTAGTAAGAAAAGGATATATGTAATTTAGAAACAGAGGCTGAAACAAGGAAATACCAGAAATGTATGAAAAACCTAACCAATAAAAGCCTCTTAAAAAAAGCAGCCATATTATATGAATTTTTTCCTTGACAGTTATTTCACATTTATTACATAAAAAGAAAAAAATCATGCTACTTGAACCTATGTGTAAAATTTTCACGAAAATGGGGATAAGGAATTTGATAATTTATTACCAGTATTTTCCAAATTATTAGCTGGTTATTTTGATATTTATAGATTTAAAATGTTTAGAAATGTACTGACTTTAGCATTTAATGTTTACATTTTAAAATTTTTCTTATAATTGATGAAGAGATAAAATACAAGAAATCAGAAATTTTTCCTCAAACACATAAAATACTCATTCAACAAACACTTGTAGATTTTATAAATATACACAGAAAAGCACAAACACCTAAAAATTATTATTCAAATTTCAACCTAATTTTCATGCTTCTAGATGATTTTCATTCTAAGAAAATAATTGTAGTTGTTGTTAGGTGTCATCAAATCAACTTTGACTTAAAGCAACCCTATGTACACTTCACAATCATCACAACACCTATGCCATGTTTGAGCTCTCTGCTGCAGGCATTGTATCAATCCAGCTCCTTCACGGCCTTCAACTTTTAGGCTGACCTTCTACTTTACCAAGCATGATGTCCTTCTTTAGGGACTGGTCCCTCCTGATAACAAGTCCAAAATATATAAGATTAAGTCTCACCACCCTTGCTTCTGGTTATACTTCTTCCAAGACAGATTTGTTCTTCTGGAAAACCATGGTTTAAATATTCTTCACCAATACCATAATTCAAATGAATCAATTCTTCAAATATATTTCTTATTCATTTTCTAGTTTTAACATATATATGGTGGTCATTCCAAATACTGTGGGTTGGGCCAGGTGTACCTTAGTCCTCAGAGTGACCCTTCGCTTTTTAACGTTTTAAAGCGCTCTACTGCAGTAAAATTTCCCAGTAATTCTTAGCTTGATTTAATGACTACAGCTTCCAAGGGCGTTGACTGTGAATCCAAGTAAAATGAAATCTTTGATAACCTCAATCTTTCTCCATTTACTATTGTGCCACTTACTGGGTCAGTTGTGAGGATTTTTGTTCTCTTTATGGTGACGGGTAACCCATTTGGAAAGCTATAGGCTTTGGTTTTTATCAGTACATGGTTCTTCAAGCCCCCGTCCCTTTCACAAGGCATGGTTTGTCATCTGCATCTGCTCAGGTTGTTAATAAGTCTTCCTTCAATCTTGATGCCAAGTTAGTCTTCATATAATACAGCTTCTTTATTTGCTTAGTCAAGCATACAGGTCAATTAAGCATGGTGAAAGGATATAATTCTGACGGACATATTTCCTGATTTAAAACCACGCAGTAATCCCCTCATTTGAAAGACTACCTCTTGCTTTATGTGCAGATTCCTCATTACCACAATTAAGTGTTCTGGAATTTCCAATCTTGCTAATAGTAGCCATAATTTGTTATAATCCGCATGGAGGATTGTCTTTGCATAGTCAATCAAATACAGGTAAACAGATTTCTGGCATTCAGTGCGTTCAATCAACATGCATCTGACCTCAGCAATGATATCCTTAGTTCCAGGACCTCTTCTGAATACGGCTTGAATCCTCAGCAGTTCCATCTATGTACTGCTGCAACCATTTTTAAACTACAGTCAGCAAAGTTTTACTTGTGTGATATATTAATGAAACTGTTTGATAATTTTTCCATTCTACTGGATCACCTTTCTTTGGAATGCATACAAATGTGGATCTCTTCCAGTTGGTTGGCCAGGTAGCTGTTTTCCAAATTTCTTGGCATAAATGAGTAAGCACATTGAGTATTGCATCCATTTGTTGGCACATCTCAACTGATACTCGGTTAGTTCTTGATGCCTGTGTTTCACCAATGCCTTCAGTGCAGCTTGGACTTTCTCCTTCAATATGGATTCTTGATCATATGCAATATCCTGAAATGGTTGAACATCGATCATTTCTTTTTGGTACAGTGATTCTGTGCATTTCTTCCATTTTCTATTGATGCTTCCTGCGTCATTCAATATCTTGCCCATAGATCCTTCAGTCCTTCAACAGAATATTCAATACTCTTAATAGGTTAGTTTTAGTAAAGAAAAATGCTATATCTTAGAATCTTTAATATCTTAGAATCTTTAAAATGTTTAATTATAATTACAATCTTATTATTTAATTTTTAATGCAATACTTGCTACCAAATCCTAATCTTCTTGTTGTTGTTGTCAAGTACAATCTAGTCAGGACCAAATCACAGCGACTATAGTATTTTAGAGGGGCAGTTGGTGGGTTTGAAGTGATGACCATGTGGCTCACAGTCCAGTGCTGCTTCTACAGTGCCACACCAGGAGTCCTTAATTTAAGAAATCTAAATTAAACTCTCTAACATCCAAAAGAGTACCATGGACTGCCAAAAGAACAAATCAATCTGTGTTGGAAGAAGTGCAGCCAGAATGCTCCTTGGAAGAAAGGGTGTCAAGACTTTGTCTCTCATACTTCGGACATATTACCTGGAGGGACCAGTCCCTGGAGAAGGATATCCTGTTTGGTAAAGTGGAGGGCAGCTGAGAAGCAAAGAAGCCTTCCAATGAGACAATTAGCACACTGTTGGTAGCAATGAGCTTAGCAACGATTGTTATAAGGTCAGCACAGAACTGGAAGTGTTTCGCTGTTGTACATAGGGTCACCATGAGTTACTGCCGACTCGATGGTACCTTGATGGTACAGCAATAACATCCAGGAGACAATGAAGAGAAAATTAAAAGTTTCTGAAGTACATATTCATAAAACCACAATTGCCACAAAAGCAGTTCTGCTGTGTAGTACTGTCACAAATACTGAAATTAACAACTACTCAGAGACACAACAACAGGATAAAACACAACAACTGCCAACAATTATATCACTGAATTAACAACTACTCAGAGATACAA